CCTGGGCCACCTCGCCTTTCTGAGGACTCCTGGGAGGGGGCTCGGTCTGCAAAACACCCGGGGGAGGGGCTGGCTCCCCTGAGCCCCTCTGTAGCATCCTGCAGCTGGCAACTGCTCTCATTCCCAGGGGACGAGACGCTGCGGCCGGGGGTGCTGCAGCAGTGGCAGCTGGCGCTCTACGGCTCCTCCTGGTCCCTGGCTGAGATCAAGGAGCGGCAGAGGTAAGGTGAGGAGCAGGGGCTGGGGGGGGGCAGGCTTCCCGGGCGGGAGGGGCTCCTCTCCCCTCTGTGTGGCCCTCTGGGGCCAGGGGAGGGGGCTTTTGTTCATAGGGGTACCAGAAGTCACACACACCAACGCTTGGGGAAACCTTCCAGTTTCTAAAGGGAGTCTTTCTGCCTTTTGTGGCTTCCTTGACGTGAGTCATCAGCCATGCTGGCATCCTTGTGGACTGCTGATTTGGAGGATGCCTTCTGTCGGGGCACCAACTGGTGTAGTTGTAAGTAGTCTCCAGGTGTCCTGGAGGGATTTGAGTCTCTTCATCCCCCCTTTTACAGACTATTTCCCTTATTTTAGTAAAGTTCCCTTTTTTTGAAATCAAAAGTGATTGTTTTGGGCCTCAGAGATAACCTTCTGCTGACGTTGTGGTCACTGTTTCCAATCCGATGTTCTTGGGCTCAAATTCCATGCGGTTACCACTGGGTGCAACGACATCCAGCTCTTGCACCGGGTCTCAAGCCCTGCTGGGAAGTGAGTCCGGAGTTTCTAGACTTGGCTCTGGGGCTTCACTGCTTCCGTGCACAGGATGTTGATGATGTCTAGAAAGCTTCTCTCTGTGGCATGACTGGAGCCACATTCCTGCCCAGTGAGTGTGTGGGCAGGTGAAGTCACACAGTAGGACAACCTCCTCTCCTTTAGTGCCATTATTTCCCCGCTCCACCTCGAGGTCTGCTCTGTGGCTTTGATGGGGGGGGGGGGGGGGGGAGGTGACAGTCCACCACCACTTATACGTAGTAAACATTGGGGTCTGGTGTCTCCATTCATAGCGATTCCGTGGGGTAGTTTCTTCCCCTAACGTTTCCTAGGACATTTGACTCTGTTCTGTCTTTGATATTCCCTAGCCATGCGCACCTTGGCTTGCCGGCAAGAGCCCTCTCAGCTAGGTGCTTTGCTCGTACCTTTCTGCAGCACGCCTGGTGTCCGATTGCAGCTGCTTGGAGTCCGAACAGGGGGTGGACTGGGTGGCCTCTTGGTCCCTTCCCAGTTTCACACAACAGCCCCCTCCCCAAATCGACATGAGCCGTTCTGGCTGAGGGGGAGGAAGAGGGCTGCTCCCCCCCCATGCATCAGCCCAGCCCTCAACGCTCTTTTGCCCACAGGCGGCTCGAGGAGGCGATGAGCGGCCGTTTCCTGGACGATGGGTTTTCCTTGCCCTGCCCGCCTGGCTTGAAGATCCCGGAGCAGGAGCCCTACACCATCCCTGCCAACACCCTCAAGGTGGCACCTGCCTGGTGGGGCGGGGGGGGGCGGGGAAAGGGGCTAAGGAGGGGGCCTGCTGGGTTCTGTGCGGCATGTTTGGAACGTGGTTCCGGTGGAGCCTGCGGCAGCTGCTGAGGTTTTGGTGTGCAGAAGGGGTCCCTGCACGAGAGGGAGGCGGCAACCTAACGAGAGGCTGAGCGGGGGGGGGGGTGGTTTGCCGTCTTCTGGACCGTCTACTACACGCTGGAGGTGTTTCTGACCCGCAACAAGGTGGCCTTGAACCTCCCAGCCTGCAGCAGTGCCCGTGGGTGCCCGTGGTCCACCAGAGGCAGGGCGGCCTCGAGCCTGGAGGAGGGGACAGAGATGGAGGAGACCCTCCCCCTGTATGCAGGGGAGGAGCTGGAGCTGGAGGTGGAGACGGAGCTGCTCCGAGCTGGCCAGGAGGGGCAGAAGGGCCCCCGGGGCGGCCAGAGCCCGGGACGAGGAGAGTTGTGCTGAGCACCCTGGTGCGGGATCTGGTGGCTTAACCCGGGGCTCACGGACGGTGGGCTGAGGACATCAGGCAGGCTAGCCGGATTGGTGCCTGGCTGCCCCTCCCGGTGGGTGCGGCCCAGATGCCCAGCAGCCACCTGGGGCAAGGCCCGGCGTGCCAAGTGCCTGAAGGATAGAGCCCCCCCCCCCCCCCCCCCCCCCGCCCCCGCAGCAGCCCCCCGACTGCCGCCCCTAGTGGGACACAGAGTGTATCGGCCCCCTGGAGAGCCCTTGGCGGGGTTCGGAACCACCCACGCGCTGGCTGAGTGGAACAGGAGCGCTGGTGGGGGGAGCCCAGCTGGTCGGAGTCAAACTCTCGCTGCCTTATCCTGCTGCAGGCCACGGAGCAGCAAGACCTCGGCTGACCTTAGCCAGTGTGGCCAAACAGGGCCGGAGCCCTGCTCACTTCTGCCTTTTCACCTTGTGCTTCTTTGCTCGCCTCCCACCTTGACTGGCTCACTCTGCCACCCTTGAAGGGCGAAGGGGAGCGGCTTCCTCCGGGTGCCAGCGGCAGGCGGGCACAGCCAAAGCCAAGAGCAGCCTTGCCTCTGCTGCCTTTCTCGACGGAGCATCCGGGAGCTGACCGGGGGGAGGGGCTCACTCAGAGGAGGACAGCCCGGTGCCCCCACGGCTGGGAGGGAGCCTCCCCCCCCCCGCGACTCGGTGTTTGGCCCGGGGGGGGGCCCCCTGCATGAGCTTCTCGGCCTGCTTGGAGCTGCATCTGTGGGACCGGGGGG